CAGAATTTTACTTTTTTGTTTTGCTGAAAAATTTTCATTTTGGGTCAGCCCACCCTGTCGCCCTGCCCCGCTTCTTCCGTTCAAACACTGAACCAAAATACCCCAAACCTAATTTGCACAGCTCTGCCTTGAAGTGTGCAACAAGTTTCATGGGTGCTGCTAAAGGAGAAGCTATGCTACCTAGTCTTGAGTGCCACCTGCTGGCACTTTAAGTATATAGACGCACACAGCACAGGTAGCAGGACCCCTATAAAGGGGATTTTAAAAACACTGGCCCTGGGCTATCAAAACAATGACAGAATTAGGGAGGGGAGTTATTTTGCTCCCAGTGAATGAGGAGCTGCATCCCCCTAATTCCCCAAAGTGAGAGCTAAAAAAGGGGTGGTGAAATGAAGCCACAGGATTGCCTGAGATCTACTTAAAGATTTCCCCAAGTCCTTCAGCCAGTCAGGACAAGTGCCAGAGAGAGAGATTTTGCTGATCAACAGAACACCCAAGCTTCCTGGAAGACAAATATCCCTTTCGTGGTGTAAGGAGGAGGAAAATAATAAAGAAAGAGACAAAGCAAATCCCTCAAAATAATCACTGGATGCAATCTCCACCAGCACCACCCTACCTCTCCATTCCCCCGCCCTCCAAAGGCAACTGGGAAGGACTTGTATTGCACACCTTGATCGCCTCCTGCCTTAGAGACTTCATTTGCAACAGGTGTTCTGTAAATGGGGGGTGGGTGGGAAGAGAGAAAGAACGCATGTGCCCTGTGGGGTTGTCCTGCCCACCTGCTCTAGAAGCCCATGGTGGGAAGCTGCTGCGTGTGGACCTTTTCCCACCTCCCTGCAGCCCTCCTCTGCTCAAGGTGCTGGGAAAGGAGACCAAAGCTTGGCTCAAGGGCTGAATTTCAAGAGATGTCAGTGAGGTAGCTGCTGCTACCTACAAAGCCCTGGCCCAAAACCACAACACCTGAGAGTGATTTAGCACTGGGTTCCCCCATGAACACATGCTGGGCTACAGGAGAGAGGTGGCTCCTTTCTGTCTATGCCTCCGTTCCTGACATGGGCCTCCGTTCACACTGGGCTCTACTCCCTAGAGCACACAGTTGGCTATCCAGGGCCATCCAAGACCCCGCTGCTATATTGTTATATTTAAGGGGGATTCTGATTTAGAGGCCTTTGGTCATAATCCCACAGATAGTAGCATTGCCCCTTGACTCGCCTGCCAAGCACATATACCAAGTGTCTGAGTTTGCAGTGCCCTTCACACAGAGCAGGATTACTATTGAGACACTACATCAGTAGGGTCAAACTAACCGGTCTCACTCTAAACCTAGCTCATGTTCCCTAGTGGGGGTGAACGATCCACTGCTTCACGACAATAGTAAGAGCTGATAAAGGATCAGAAAGTGATGTCACAATGAACGCTTGGCTGTCGCAAGCCAGATATCCCTGTGGTAACTTTTCTGCCACTTCCTGCTTAAACCCTCCAAATGCCCACTCTCATGGTCTGAATTTTGCCCTTCTCCTCCACAGGAGATTTCTGTCCTCCCTGAGCTTCCCTCAGGGCACCTGTGTTATGGTTTGACAGGTGTACTGCCCCCATCAGACTCCCCACCTGAATGTCCCCTCATTGGGGGGGTGGGGGGGGAAGAGAAGGAGGAAAGAAGGGGAAGAAAAGGGGGGGGGGAAAGGAGAGGTTTTTTCCTCCACCCCTCATGTCTCTTCACTGTGCCACACTAGAGCCATGCTCAACTGAGTTTCCTTTCCCCACTGATTCTGCCAAGCCTGTTCCCTTGGCTGTGGTTTTGCCACACAGAAGCTGGGGAGCGTGGGAGTCTCATTCATCCAGTCACACACATTGCTAATTAGATGAGCCATTTGGCTAGTTTGCAAATACTTTAAGGGATGAACTAGCTCATCTTACCCACCGGTGAGTGGCCCAGCAGTGTTTGTTCCAGCCCACTCTGCAAAGTGTAGTGATGAGATCTCAGCTCCTGCAGTTGAAGGATAGCTGCTTGGCATTGTAAACTGGAGTAGGCTTTTCAAGAGTCTTGTGACATAGGAGCACAAGTGCTCACATCATTTTGAAAATGCAAGTTCATGATGCAGCAGGCAGATGAGATGGGTCCCATTAGAGACAGTGGCTCACAGCCCAAGCTGGCATTAGCCCACCCAGCTACATTTGGCACCGTGCCACTGCAGTCACTTACACCAGCTGATACCTGGCCTACTGCACCCACTCCTGCTTTTCCATAACAATTCCCCAGGTCAGCAGGCACGAGGCACAGGAAACTTCCCCTTGTTAAGAGCTCACTCTTTTCCAGAGTACTTTGACAGGACGTGTTATTTTCTAGGAAGAAATGGAAAAAACAAAACAAAACACAAAAAAGCAACTCCACTACTGCCAAGCAGCTCTGTGGCTCCCTCCCCCAAGATTGTCTGGCCACCCTGTAACTGGATCCCTCTGCCTGTTCTCTGTTGGCACTGCTACCCAGGCCCTATGTGTGGGCTGCATAAGTAGCTCGCATTCTGAAATAAGCAGGGAGAAGCCCCCATGGAGCCCACCTTTCATTACTCCTTCACTGGGGCTGATTAACTCTGGTTGGTTAATCAATTTGTTCCAAAACCTCCTCTAATGATACCTCAACCTGGGACAGTTCCTCAGATTTGTCACCTAAAAAGGATGGCTCAGGTTTGGGAATCTCCCTCACATCCTCAGCCATGAAAACCATGCAAAGAATTAATTTAGTTTCTCTGCAATGGCCTTATCATCCTTGAGTGCTCCTTTAGCATCTCGATTGTCTAGTGGCCCTACTGATTGTGTACCAGGCTTCCGATGTAGGACTAAATGGTCTGCTTTCAGAATGGAGTCATTGTGGATAAGTCTCTAAAAACATCCACTCAATGTGCAGCGGCAGTCAAAAAAGCCAACAATCATTAAGAAAGGGCTAGATAAGGAAAATATAATTACCTCTGTAGAAATCTATGGTACACTCACATCTTGGTACACTCATTAATGATCTGGATGATGGGATGGATTGCACCCTCAGCAAGTTCACAGGTGACACTAAGCTGGGGGGGGGGGAAGAGGTAGATATGCTGGAGGGTAGGGATAGGGTCCAGAGTGACCTAGACAAATTGGAGGATTGGGCCAGAAGAAATCTGATGAGGTTCAACAAGGACAAGTGCAGAGTCCTGCGCTTAGGATGGAGGAATCCCATGCACTGCTACAGGCCGGGGATGGATGCCTAAGCATTAGTTCTGCAGATTATAGTGGAGGAGACACTGAATATGAGACAGTGTGCCCTTGTTGCTAAGAAGGCTAACAGCATATTGGGCTGCATTAGTAGGAGCATTGCCAGCAGATCAAGGGAAGTGATTATTCCCTGTTCTTTGGCACTAGTGAGGCTCTATCTGGAGTATTGTGTCCAGTTTTGGCACCCCCTCCCCCAGGACAGATGTGGGCAAATTGGAGAGAGTCCAGCAGAGGGCAACAAAAATAATCAGGGGGCTGGGGCATAGGACTTATGAGGAGAGGCTGAGGGAACTGGGCTTAGTCTGCAGAAGAGAAAAGAGTGAGGGGGGGGGATTTGATAGCAGCTGTCAACTACCTAAAGGGGGGGTGTCCTAAAGAGGATGGAGCTCAGCTGGTACCACTGAGAACAGATGACAGAACAAGGAATAATGGTCTCAAGTTGCATTGGGAGAGGTTTAGGTTGGATATTAGAAAAAACAGCTATTTCACTGGGATGGTGGTGGTGGAGAAGCACTGGAATGGGTTACCTAGGGAGGTGGTGGAATCTATCCTTAGAGGTTTTTAAGGTGTGGCTTGACAAAGCCCTGGCTGGGATGATTTAATTGGGGTTGGACTAGTTGACCTCCTGAGGTCTATTCCAACCCTAATCTTCTGTGAATAATGTGCATAGATGTGGTTGCCCTATCTCAAAAAAAGATTAGAATTGGAAAAGGTGCAGAGAAGGGCAACAAAAATGATTAGGGGTATGGAACAGCTGCCACATGAGGAGAGAATAATAAGACTGGGCTTTTACAGCTTAGAAAAAAGACAATTAAGGGTGGAGAGGGTAAGAATATGCTGAGGTCTATAAAATCATGACTGGTGTGGAGAAAGTGAATAAGAAAATGTTATTTACTACTTCTAACACAAGAACTAGTGGTCACCAAATGAAGTTAAGAGGCAGCAAGTTTAAAAAAAAACCAAACCACACAAAAAGAAGTATTTCTTCACACAATGCAGTGTCAACCTGTGGAACTCTTTGCCAGGGGATGTTGTGAAGGCCAAGACTAACATGGTTCAAAAACCAAACAAACAACCCATGAACTAGAGAAGTTCATGGAGGCTAGGTCCATCAGTGGCTAATAACCAGGATGGACAGCAATGGTCCCTAGCCTGGTTGCTAGAAGGTGGGAATGAGGGACAGGGGATGGATGACTTGATGATTACCTGTTCTGTTCATTCCCTCTGGGGTACCTGGCATTGGCCCCTGTTGGAAGACCGGATACTGGGCTAGATGAACCTTTGGTCTGACCCAGTATGGCTGTTCTTTTGCTGCATTGGGGTAGTGCATAACAAAAAACACCCCCCCACACACGACATGGGCAGCAGTACTTTTCCTATTATTAAAATCAGTCATCTGAGCAGTTAGAGGGCTTTTCCCCTCCTCAGCAGTCTTGAGTCTATTGGTGCTCAGCTGCTGTTTGGCTTTGAGACTTCCAGCTCACATCTGCTGTGTGCTCAGAGGGGGCAGCTGAAGAGAAGCACCTAACACTGACTAGCAAGACCGCTAGTGAGGAAAGCTGTCCTGCTCCCAGCTAGCACCCACTACAGACACAGGTGGTAGATGGACAGGATGGCAACGCTGCCCAGGGGACAGATGGACTCTGCATTCTAGTACCATCTCTCTGCTTGTACCAAGCCTGGAAGTGGTTTCCCCAGACTCCCCTAGGGCCAGGCCACACAGCCCCAGCCCAGGAAGCCCAGAGAAAGCATGCTTGCAATAGTGTTTATTGTATCATACTGATCTCACAGGCTGCATTTCTCCATCTCCCCCACATGACTGCCATGAGCATCACACACAGTGCCCCCATCAGCATCACCCCAGCTAAGGTCAAGATCCAGGCTGCTCCAGTGCTCCTTGGTGAACCTGTGGAAAGAGAGAGCTCAGTCTGGAGCAGGTAAGTCCCTTTAGAGTCCTGATCAGACTCCCATCCTGCTCCACTATTTGTCCAACCACCATTTCCTCTTCCAACTTTCCCCAGTCACAGGCTCAGCCTATTATACAGTAGTTACCAGCACTATGCTGTACCTAGACCAGTTCTCTCTCAAATCCAGAGTCCTTCCCAGCTTGAGAAGGGAGAGTGGGTTATTGTCCTAGCCCCTTGCCAACAGGACATGTTCACTGCAGATTGGATGGGTTAGTGCAGCCAGTGGTTCCTCCAGTAGGAGAAGAGTCAGTAGCAGCTCTGCATGCCCCTGCAGTCCTGTCTCTCTAGGCCATGCTGTCATTGGCCCCAGCCTTCTCTGGTGGCAATGTGATACCAGTGTGCTCAGAACACAGGGTTGGGCGTTCCCCACAGGCTTCTAATTGGGATGCCTCTAGAGCAGTTATTCAGGCTAGGAGAGTCAGAGGCATGCATGCCCAATGATGGGTTTAGAGGCTGCCTTCCCTCCAAGTCCATTTGGCCACAGCAGGATGAGGATCAGCAATTAAATATTACTACTAGCCCACACCATAGGGCTGTAAACCCAAGTAAGCCAGCCAGGTTGGAGATGATGTCAAGGAAACAGGAGTGAATTCCCTGGTCATCCTTACAACTGGCCATGGGCAGGTCAATGACTGAACTAGCCTCACTGGCTTGGTGCCCTACCATTGTAGGGTCACCCCAGGGTGGCTTTGACTGGAAGGTCTCTTGGAACCAATGGTCCCTGCCATAGGGTGCTCCCCCACAGTGAAGAAGTTGGTTTCAGGCAGCAGATTAGGCTTGAAGGCTTTTACAAAGAAGGATACTAGGCTGGACTCACCAAGTTCTGGAAACACTTCCCTCTTCAGCCTAGCCTGGAGGAGAAGCACAGGCCCCTGGCTAGTGACGTGGGAAAGCCCATCTTGAAGGTGCTGCTCAGAGCTCCTCCTGCCCCCTATGACAGACAACAGCTGTTTAGCTGCAGAGTAGACAAGTCTGGAAGTCCTGTTAACCAAGGAGCATCCATGCTTCTATCACCCCATGTTTGAGGAAAGCCAGTCAGTGGGGCATCTGCTGCAGCAGAGCATCAGCCCAGCTCCCTTCAGCATCTAGTACCACTTCAGGGCAAAGCCAGAGAAAGAGAGCTGCATTGTCAGCCACTCCCACTGGAGGGGGAAGGAGAAGTGAGCCCCTATTCCAAATGGAGTGGAGAACTCTGCATTGGTTTGTTCAGAGAGGTGACCATGCTGTGCAAGCAGCAGGGTGAGTTGGAAACTACTCCCCTTTGATGAGCAGGAAGCCCAGCTGTCATCTGGCCTGCTCCCTCTTCACCACAGCCCAAGCAAGAGGATGGGAAGATACTCACGGGCTACAGCAGGGCAGGAGAGGGTGCAGGGCTCCAGCCTGGAGGGCCGGCACACTGAGGCGCTGCAGTGCAGGTACACCTAGGAGAGACAGACAGACTACAGCTCAGGTTGGACAGGCCCTTCTTGACATGCCCCCTGCTTTTGCTTACAGGGGAGTGAAGCTACACTCCAGATTACAGGGTCCAAAAACTCAGGAGCTGAACCTGTGGGGTGAGTGGCCTGTTAGTGTAGGAGCACTGGAGGGGCTGGGCAGCGAGAAGCATCATGGAGTTCAGGAAGATGAAGAATCTTAGTCAGCCTAAGGTTTGCCCTACACTGTCTCATGGTGTTATTCCCTGATGAAAGGCAAGGAGACTAGCAACATGGAAGGGGGAAAGACTTGTGGAGCAGACCCAATGTGACAGACATGGCACAAGCATGCAGAGTGCTAGAGAGTATTGATCACATCAGAGACTGATCAGCCCTACTGGAATAGAAGGGAGGTCATACCGGGCCTGTGAGTGCCTGCTGGGAGGCAGACTCCATGAAGGTGAAGGTGCTGATGATGAAGCGCTGGTGGTGAGACGGGAACTGCAGCCCCGAGGCAGCTCCCACAGGCACCAGCTGGGTGCGGTAGTTATCTCCTGTGTATGGGCACCTGGGAATAAGGGGAGCAACTGAGAGATTGTGCCCTGCACTCCCCAGGCCCAAATAGAGACCCTCTCATCCTGGACCCCCAGTCACTCACCCATCCACCAGGATAGGCCACTGCGGCTGCTGCTGGGGGTTGGTGCTGGGGGTGGCCCAGTAGTGGTGCAGGACCAGAACCAGATCTGGGTCAGTTCTCTGCAGGATCTGGACCTCCACCACAGGGTAATCTCGATCTGTGTAGTAAGAGCCATAACTCTGCTCTGGAACAGAGATAAGCAGAGGGGTCACTGCAGGTCAACATGAGATGCAGGTAGAGAAGTATAGTGCATTGTATGGGGCCAACACCCACAGGCTGTTCAGGAGGGCCTGGACTCCCAGCTCAGGGGGCAGTGTTCCCGCAGTGCTAGATCTAGCCCTGCTCCTGCATTGTGGGCTGTCTTTCCAAACATTGAGGACAGATACAGCTCACTTCTGGCTGAGCGAGAGGTTAGTGTAAATCTAAACACATCACTGATCAGTCACAGCCTTGTCTCATGTCTCCACTGCCAAGCTAGAATCTCATGTCCCCAACCCTCCCATCCCACACAGTATTTAGCTCCCCTCCAACTGAGGCCCAAAATCCTGCCCCCAAGAGATCTGCATGAACCCCCCACAGAGCTCTCCTACCTGTGGCAATGCGCAGATCCAGCACCAGGGGGCCAGGCTGGGACACAGCAGGGGGTGGAGGCAGGGTGAAGACCTGGACACTCAGGGGGAGGAAGTTCCCACTGATGGAGTAGCTGCAGCGGACGTGTAACCTAGCAGAGAGCCAACAAGCCTGAGTGGGGCATGGCCAGACATGCACTGCAGAGACTCAATTGAGCAGTAGAAGTGGAAATCAGTCAGAACCTGTGAATTCCAGCTGCCCAGAAGCCCAAGACCATAAGTAAAGAGGGACACCCCAGTATTGCCCTTCTATTGACTTGCTGTGTTTTTAATCATCTCCCTTAGACGCCATGAGCAGATAGAACCCAGGGTTCTGGGGAGAGTCACTGTTCAGTGCCTAGTACCTGCCATGCAACAGTTTTCTGGAGGAACAGCTGGCCCTGAACCACTCCCATGTCATTGCCAGGAGCTGAGCAGGGCTCACATGACAGAGGCAGCTCTGGAGATGCAGGGCAGAAGGGGGCGGAGGTACCAGCCCCAGGAGTTACCTGAAAGTGCTGTCCCGGGTGATGGAGCCCAGACGCCAGGCTCTCACATCCCTGGATGCCACCAGCTCATTCTCATACACACCCTGGTTTCCAGCCATCTGCAAGGAAAGAGCAGTCACTGACCCTCAGCTTTGATTCTTGCAGGGCCAGGCGTCAGCCAGAGATTTGCCCCAGAGAAGCCACTGTTTGTCCAGCAGGGTTTGTCGCTGCATCAACCTCAGAAAGGGACCTGCCAGTGCACCTTGTTCTTACCTAAACCCCCTTCTATTCCAGCAGAGTGACCCCATCCTGGTCTCCCCCAGCTCAACTCTTACCTGGAAAGTGGTGCCACAGGCAGAAAGTGGGAACCGGAACAGGACAAAGGTATTGTTCTGCCCCACAGGGACACAGCCAGCACCGCGCCCACTGGCCAGACGAACCGAGTCCAGGATCAGGGGAGGCAGAGTCACAGCCCGAGAGACCGCGAGGGAGAACTGGCCATCTGGAGTGCACTGCGCTGTCACTGGAAGGGAGCCAGGGACAGGTCAGGGTCACCCTACCACCTGGGCTAGTCAGTCTCAGGACACTGGAGCGGAAGCCAGCAGCTGGTCCTGGAGCTGGATAAGAACCCACTGTATTCTACTGCACCCCTCCAGGGTACCCCGAAGGGCACAGGCTGGCACTGCAAGGGACCCTGGCAGCATACAGCTCATGGTGGAGCTGCAATGGCCATGAAGCATGTGCAGTGGATTCTAGGCCATTGGACTGGGTCTGTTATTGACATGGCTGAAGCATTCAGCCCTCAGTCTGAGCTGGATGGAAAGTGTTGCACATGGCCTTGATATCACACTAACTAGCCCCGCACCCAGCGGTCTGCAGGACTGGGTACATGGAAACCCCACTCAGTTTTGATGCCAGGTATCTCAGACACTGCCCCCCAGACGTGGGACCATTACAGTCAGCTCTGGACAATTCATGTGCACAGAAACTCACCTGTATTGCCATAATAATAAGGCTTCACCCTATCACTGGGGTTGTAGCAACAGCCTTGTTCTTCACAGTCTCCCTGGGCGATGGGTGGGGAGGCACAGGGCAGCCTGTCCTGGCTCTGGATAGCAGCACAGACACCAGGGCTTGGAGCATCCAGGGCTGGGGTGAAACAGGTGGGAAGCCGTATGGAGCTCAGAGCAAGAGGAAGGAACAGAGACTAGGTGGGGCAAGGGGCTGGGCTACAGAACATGCTCCCTCCTGGCTAGGCTGGAGCCTTTGAGGCTCCTTCAGGACCCCAGGGGTTCTGCAGGACAGACATCCTGCTTCCAGCTCACAAACAAACACTCTGCTGAGGGGCTTCAGTCTGAACCATCCAGCATCGGGGGGACCCAGTCTGTGCACTCCCAGCCCTGAGACTCACCATTTACTCCAGGCCTGTTTGAGTAATGGGGTAGTGAAGAAGACATGGCCTCTAGGAGAGCCTCCAGCACCTGTCACCATTCCCCCAGGCCCAGCCTGGAGCCCTTAAGGGCTAATGCAATACAAAGACCATGAATGCCAGGTTCTCCTATGTGAGGAGAGCAGCCAAGCAGGAGAGTGTGCTCTCTGCCACAGGTATTGTCTTGCTCTGCCTGCAAAGAAGGGCAGTCACTGGCCCCACAGTGGCCACCTGACACAAAGGGAGGAGAAGAGGGAGACACAGGCCTTCCCCATGGAGGCAGACCGAGGCCTCCCTTTCTCTAACTGGAGGAGAGCAACCATCTCTAAGAGATCATTCACAGCCACCAGTTGGGGCATTCAGCATAAGACACTAGGCCCTCACCTGGCAGGCTCCTGGGGCACCTGAGTACCTTTTCCTCACCAGCAGCCATCCCCTCAATGCCAACCACCATCAGGTAACCACCATCCTGGAGAGAGAGAGCGACCCACAGAAGTCAGGGCTGGCAGAGCAGCAAACCCAGAACCCAAGCAGGTGCCAGAAGGTTACTCACCCATTCAGAGACATAACAGCCAGCATAGGAGGCACCAACTGTCCTGGAGCCATCTGCAGCCCAGGAGACCCAGACCGCACAGCTGGAGTCATTCTGCAGAACTTGCAGCCTCCCAGCAGTATCTAGGGAGGAACAAGGAGATCAGCAGCCAGTGCAGAGGAAGAGGACACAAGAGCTATCTAAGAAGCTACTGCCCCCCTGCACAGAGGGGTCAGGCTCTTGGCTGGCAGGGGGCTGCCCAGGCCAGGCACACTGCCTAGGCTCCTAAGCTCCAGCAGTACTGCTGGGAGCATAAACTCCAGCTCAGGTCAGCTATTGCTCAGGCTCCCTAGGACTCAGCCAGCTACTGGGCAGGGCTTGGACAAGTTGAGGGATCCCTAGGACAGAATCAGTCCCTTCCCCTCTCCCTGGAGCTATACCCTGGGCTCGCTCCAGACACCCAGGGAGGGGTACACAGGTCTGGCCTCACTTACCCCAAGCACTCAGTGCCAGTGAACCTGCCCCAGGCTGGCCAGGAGGCAGCATGAACTGCAGGCTTCTCTGGCCACAGACCAGCCCCCTAGGATAGCCCTGGGCTGCCAGAGCAAAGGGGCAGTACAGCAACCAGAAGCACACCACTCCCACAGAACACTGCCCCCACCACACCCCAGCCATACTACTCTCCTGCCAGTGACCCATAAGGCACTTGCCCCAGCCTGCCCCCTTTGTACCCTGCAGGCAGCTGGGATTGGCCAGAGCCCAGGTGGCCATTCCTGCAGAGCCAGGGGAGAAGAGCCCAGCTCCTCCCCTGAGATCTGGCCACACCTTGCCCCAGCAAGAAGCAGTCTTGGGGGATAGGATAGAGCTGCCTGGCCCGCCTCAGGAGGAAGCAGAAGATGGGTCTGTGTTCATGGCCTGTTGCTGATGGGAGGTCAGTTTGTTCCTTCCCATTGGAACGCAGGGAGGATTCAGACCTTCCTCCCTCTCCAAATGCTGGTGCTGGGCCTCGCCCTGCTGAGGGGTCAGCCTGGCCCTTTGCTAAGGGTCCCCTGTTGCATGATGGGGGCATCTGCCACCAGCCAGCTCTGGACTCACTCTCCAGGGCTGCCATGACACCAGGCTCCCCCTGGAGCAGAGAGGCTCCTTGGGGCCAGCCCTAGCCGTCCCCTGCTCAGTTCACACCCTGGGCTGGCAGGAGCTGGAGCACGGCCAGGTTCATGCATCAGTCCCTGTAGAGGGAGCTGTGAGAGGGGGAGGGCCTGAGTCTCCATTACTATAGTTACCAAAGCAGAAAGTTATCTTCTCTGCTGTAAATGAGGTGCAGGCCAGTGGAGAGTCAGGCCCAGATAATCCAGTTCTAGTAGGAAGCTAGGTTTGGTTCCTCTTTGCACCGTTGCCTCCCAGCCCAGCAGGGAGCCAGGACTACCCGAGTCTATTGAATCCAAATGTAGGGCCTGGACCTGCTAGGACAGCTTGGGCCGAGAGAGGGGTGCATGGGACATGGGATGTGCCTAGAACTCATAGTCCAAATGTTTAAAAAAAATCATCACATGGGACCATATTGCCTTGATCTTGAATCATCAGCAGGGTGTGGCCCTTTAGAGCTACAGCATAGTCCACTACTACTTGAGCTAACAGAGTAACTGGAAGCAGCAGTTGGCTGTTATCCTCAGACCTCTAGGTGGATCTGGGTGCACGGGCATGTACCTTAACTATGTTTTTCCTGGTTATTGGATTTTTGAGTTTTACTGAACTCATTGTTCTGGAAGGGCATGAGATACCTCCAGGCAACCTTAAATCTATGCTAATAAAGCTTTTTTGTCAGTGAGTTTCCTTATTTTTATGTTTGTTGAAGGAGTTAGTGGTTGTTTAGGCAGTTGTAGTTCTCCCTTAGGGTTGCAGTAGATACACTATTATGGTTAAGTAATACCAAAAGGTAATACCAAAAAAGACCTAGTTTTTATGTAGTGTTTGCATCAGTAGATCCTTTGCAACGTTATCAGCAATTTTATTACCCAGTGGTTACAGTAACTTGAAGTGTGTAAGAATAGACTGGTGTGCCTCCTTCCTTCTCCGGCCCTTACCCACCATTCCCCGCACCAACACCCCCTTGCCAACATTTCCAGTTCCCCTCCCCTTCCCAGCCCATTAAGCTGCTATTTAGCACTACAGAAGCCATTAACACATGAGGAAGTTGCTCCTTGCTGGCTCATGCCCTCTGCTCCTGTTTGCACATATCACAGGCAGTGGCTTACTAGAGGCCCACATGCTACCTTGGTAATGTAACACAAGCTGCACACTGAGCTGGGCCCCTCCCCCCACTACCTACCACAGCTGGGCCCCCTCCCCCTGCTTCAGCCAGGTTTTCCCAGCCATGTCCCAGGTCCATGCAGTCTGCCTCTCCTCCACACACTCTGGCCAGCCCCCTCACCCCCTGGGTGACATGCACCATAGCTATTAATTTCCTGGATTTCAGTTGTTTTGTTCTGTGTTACCTTCAGCCGCACCATTCCACCCTACCCCTCTGCCAGAGCCTGGTGCACATGGAGGGTAAGGAGAGGGCCAGGGTCCCCCAAATCCCAGGATACACAGGGAGCAGAGAGGGGGGCTCAAATCCCTACAGAGGGCCAGAGCTCTCCCAGAACACACATGGAAGGGAAGAATTCAGGACTGACAGGTTCCCCTCTTCTCCTAAATCCCCAACTTCCTCTGACACCCTCCCCATGTCATCCCTCATATTGTCTAACCCTTCCGGTCTTTCCCACTCCCCCTAGATCCCAGCCCCTCCCCATTCCCAGAGCCCCAACCCCTCTTCCCTTCCCTGCCATCTATTCCCACTGATCCCAAATCCATCTCCCCCTATTCCCCCCACTCCCTAACCCCCCCTTCCCAGCAAGAGTCCCACATCTATTTTCTTTTTCAAAAATACATTGATTACATTCTCCCAAAATAAAAACCACCCCTGACAGACAAATTTTAGCAACATGCCTTCAGAGCTTTTCCAGATTTCCACCCTAGGTGGGATGCAAACTGACACTTGCCTGGTGTGGGGTGGGGAGTAGGATGAAAAGCTACTGCTTATCCCCCTGGGCAGTCCAGCTGTAGTGAAACAGTGCCGGATACTAACCCTAATGGATCCTCTGTCCATACCTGCTCAGTATAACCATGATCATTAGGTGCACACCTAAAATGAGAGCTGAACTCTGGCGAATACATTCTGCATTTTGCTCCTATCATATTTCAGGGTACAATCCAGACTAGCGAGGGGCTCTGTCACCCCTTCCCTGCAACTGGGGGTGCCTCACTATGCTTTGCTGTTGTAGCTCCTAACTTGGGTCACTCGCAATCAGCCTGCCAGCATGAAGGTCACACCCTGCATGTCTGTATATAGCTACGGCCCTGGTCTAGCAGCTCTGTCAGCAACCTGTCAGCAACACTCCAGTCATACTCTGGCTTCCACCAGCCTTGGTTACTACCTGCAGTGTGACACCCCCCCCCGACACTCACAGTCCAGGATTTCCCCCAAAACATGTGTTTTATGCTATCCAGCCCTCTCCTGGGCAGTTCAGATAGTAGTTGTCTGTTGCCCTTGTGACTGGCCAGTGTACAACAGTTTGCTACTTTAATTGGAGTTGCCAAACAGTTCAGTTTAAACACAGAGCTGGATTAGTTTTGATTAAAGAGTGCAGTCCCACCTGGCCTTCTGGGGATGTCATCAGGCTGCTAGGCTGAGCTGCCCATGCTGCCAAGGCCACTAGCTGGAGCAGAGCAAGCACATGGATGTCTCCCCACACTGGGAATCACAGAGCAGCTGGGAGGTGCAGACAGACCCTGTGTGAGTGCAATGCCCTCACATCAGTGAGGAGAGGATGTGGCCCTGTCATTGTTCCCACTGGGCAGTGGGGCCCTTTAGATAAAGGTGCCAGTGTGTAGCAATGGTTCCTCTGAAGAGCTTGGCAGTTAAGGCAGGTCACTAATGCCATTGCTGCCAACTCCATTTCAGGGAATCTCCTTTGCTGAAGGAGATTGTCTCCATTCTCCGCCCCTAAGCTCTTCCTTGGCTTTGTTCCTCCTCCCTGCTGGCTGAATGGAGTGGTGGCAGTGCTCAGCCCCAGGCCAGCACGTGCTTTAAAGGTGGATGAATGGAGGCAGAATGTTGGTCATGTTCACCGAGGCAGTGGCCAGTCCCTGGTGCTTCAGCCAGTATATCTCCTGTTGGCCACCTGCTGGTTTCAGGCACTAGGGAGAGCCAGATTCCGTGTCGTTCTGACATCACTGCTCAATGGCTTCCCCGAGGACAGATGCCAACAAGTGTGATTTGACATGAGCTATGGGGTCTCAGCCAAGTCATGTGATGGTCAGTGACCATCTCACAAAACCTGCCCCCACCCCAGGTGTGGCTTATTAGTGGACGTGGCAGAAGGGGGAAGGGCAGACTGGGCATGAACTGGAACTGCTGGCATCCACTCTCTCAGAGGCCCTCCAGCTCCATAGGGAGGCCATTGGTGATGGGGATGCTGCTGCCAGCCCATAGCATCCTTGCTGTATGGACAGAGGATTTCAGCCCCAGGTTGTGCCAACTCAGCACTTTCCCACAGCAGCAATTGCACTGGAAGGAAATGCAAACAAGGGCTCAAGGAGGTGCCGATTCCAACACCCCGCTCTCCCCTTGCTCTGTACTTTCTCCGAGCTCATGGGGCCGTGGGGACTGGCAGCACAGAGCGGAACTGGAATATACCCCACATCCTCAGTGGAACTGGACTCCGACTGTCCGTCCTGTCTGGGGTTCAGCAGCCCCAGCCCAGGGTGCAGGGTGTGGGGAGGGGACAGAGAGAGCCCCCTGGGAATATGCAGGAAAATCCATTTGGGATCAGGGAAATCAATACAATGAATATAGCGAAACCACCCGTGTCCTGTGAATCACAGCTTGAGGCATGGAGGAAGAGCCCTCCCAGGTGTCCAGATGCTCCTGAGCACAAGACAGCAGAGGGACTGGTAATGAGCCTGAAGAGTGTCAGCTGAGAGTGTGGCCCTGGGAGATCAGGGGAGGGACTGAGTGATTGGCACCCACCTCAAACCAGAGCTTCCAGCTGGGTTTGGGCCAATCCCATCTCTAT